AAAAAAAAAAAAAAAAAAAAAAAAAAGTTTAGAACTTTCTGCAAAGTTCTTGGGTACTATTATGAAAACTTTAGGGACATGACTAAGAAATGAAAAGGCTAATAAGCCTGATATCTTCTATGTTTTACACTGATGGAGAAGCTAGGCTCAAAAAGTTAACTAATAAATAGCAGAGTGAGCAGCAGATTCCAAGTCTTATGGTTCTTACTCTTGGTCTCAGTTATACCATCTATTAGTATCATTAATAAGGATATCCAAAAGATGTAACTTGCTACTACAATCAAACTGCCAATAAACTATACTGCTCCATTAATTCAAAAATTTAAAAACATATATCTTCCATATACCTAGAATGTCTGGCATACTTTGGGTAAATAAGTTTGTTAAGTTTAATGGATACGCTAAGTCCAGGAACAGGATGCTCAAAATGGCTAGGAAGAAGAATCTGCAAACTTGACTAGTTAAGAAACTGGAAATGGGCCAGGGATTTAGCTCAGTGGTTCTGCTGCCTGCCTTCCAAGTGCAACGTCCCAAGTTTGATCCCTGGTACCAAAACAAAACAAAGAACCTGGAAGTTCTGATTCCCAGAAAAGTAGATTCTCATTAATACTAGGGTCCTCTCTCATAGCCAAGTTCATTAGGTTCAGGATGAAGTCTCTTCCCATGCTATAAATCTAATTAAAAGGAGTTATCCTGAGTGGATAGGATATTTAAGTTTGACTTAAACCCTTGGTTCCACAACACATTTGGGCTTGTATGTGTATAAGTAACAGAATACAGAACAAAGTACTTTACCTAATGATTTCAGCATATTCTTTGTCTTTTCCTTTGCTGTCCCTCCATTTCCTGAACATAACTGAAGCATCCACATTGGCTGGGGAGAAGGTGTTGGGCTCATTAAGCAGAGAGATTACACTTAACAGAATAGTCCTGAAAAAACAAGAAAAAAGGATCAGCTATGAAGAGGCATATTCACAGTACTCTGAAGTATTTTTATGCTTTTCAAGAAAGTACAATAAAAAAAAATACAATCAGATTTTAAGTTTTCTATTGAACCTAGGCCTAGGAAATTTGATCATCATAAAATTTTATTTTCAGTATTTGGCTAGGCTAGGGAAACTAAATAGAGAATGAGGCAGAGGAAATATGTGAGTCTAGCAGTGAAGGTCATGAATGCTGTAGGACATATGAAGTTAACTGTATAGAAGTCACTGCCTCAACTAGCTACCTAAATAAGTGGAACAGGAAAAATGAAAGCCTAAACATTTGGCTTTGAGACAAGCTTTTCATGGGAGACGTTAAAAGACATTATTCTATATATCAAATTTTTATTGTGCCACTTAGAAGGTCTGAAAACAGTGTCAAATATGTCTTCATACTGATAAAGGGGAATAGAGGAAAAGCAAAACCTTGAACTAGCCTCTGAATAATAGAAACTTTGATTCAAAAATTTTACCAAATACTTACTGTATAACAGAGTCACCAAGTGAGATGTTAAATGTATAACGGAGAGCAATTCAGGTACCAACCTGTAATCTCCAAGCTTAATAATACGGTATATATACATGTACTTTTAATCCAAAAATAAAAATCTGACATTCTAGTCAATCACAGAACATAAAGTTTTGTTGGTTAAAATACTCACAGAAGCACAACAGACTCCAAAATGTTCCCAATCAAGCTCTCCCCGCCCAAATGCTTTGTACATGTACGTGAGAAGAAAAATGAGAAAAAAATTAAATTTCTCTACATTTTTTTTGGTTGGGGTAAGGTGATAGATTGTATTGCAAAAAAACCTTCTGCTTCTGGCTCCAACCAAAATATAAAGGAAATGAACCAAGCAATTAGGTTTGATTTGATGAAACTTTCCCCCAAAAGGTACAGAATTTCTGTTATGTGATTATTCAGAATCCATTTATCTTATACACACCCACATACGCCTTTTCTATGAAGTTAAGAATAAACTCTTGGACCTTTCCCCAAACCTTCTCAACTTCCTCAGTAATTATTACTGCCAACAATGGAAAATGAACTGACAACAACTTAGTAAATAAAACATGGATAGAAAACCACAATAAGTTGTTCCCCCCCTAAAGAAAACATACATAAAATCTGTTACAAAACAGAATAAGGACAAAGTATGGTACACAAGTGGTGGGGAAGACACACAAATACTAGCAAATAGCAAACCAGAAAGTTGTAATGTTCTAAAGATCTCATATTTAAAACAAATCAAACAACATTTAAAAATAAATTTAAGTAGGGCTGGAGATGTGGCTTAATGGAAGATAGTTTGCGTAGCATGTGTAGGGCCCTGGGTTCTCTCTCCAGCACTGAAGGGGAAAACAAAAGTATTTAAGGGAGACAGGAAATCAGGATTAGATATATAACCCAAATGTTTCACCCTACAGATGGCAGTGAAATGAGTCTACCTTACCTTTGCTGCTAGCTACTATGTCACTACAAGTACAAATTTAGCAAGGCAGAAAACTGGCCATATCCCTGGCTCAAGGGTCTGCCTAGAAATCAAGAAAATCTTTCTTTTTTTTTCCTAAAGGGACTGATTCTTTATTTTAAAAAGCCACATTAATATTCAATTCAGTATTCAAATAGTTGCATTATTGGTTTCTCTTTCTCCCAACTGGCCCCAAAGAGACCACACCAAAGGTAGTACTTAAGTTAATTAACTGCAGGATGTACATATACCTAACTGACTTCACAGAAATATCACCAAAAAGTGGGACTGGGTGGGGAAAGAGACTTTGCGTACACTGGCAGCCCAATGACTCTAAAGAATTCTCTGAGCCGGATGTGGAGTGGTAAGGGTGTCCTAACCTCAAAGAAGGAAAGTTTCAAAGTACAAAATTTAATAAAGAAAACAATAAGTAAGAAAAAAGAGGCAACGAAAAAAATACAAAATTTAAAATTTTATACATAAGCTAGTCAAGATTTTTACACCATCACCAAACAAATGGGATAGCACTTTTAGACATACTTTCAGACAGAAAAAGGTAGGGCTTATTTATAAGGCTAAATTGGTGCCCAAAATGTAATTTTCTCTTTCAGAGAGGCACACATGATCCATTCTGAGTGCTTGGGAAGGGGTAGTGATGGCACAAATGCTTTATCTCAGGTCTTACCATCTTGGTCAGAAGTCCAGAATTTTGCAGATATGCAAAAGACTACACACACACACACACACCCCAACACATCCCTCCACGCAGCACAGGAGACACAGCTCATTCTTAAGCTTCCTGTACTCTCATACATTTAGACTTTGGGTTTTATTGGCCTACCATAATTTAGTGAAGCGTGGAAAAGTAAAACCCAGTTCCCTGGTATCAAAAGTGAATCCCATACACCCTTGCTAACACCTGTAGTGAAACTGGATACCACCCCTTACCCTTGTATTATTCTGAGTCCTTTTAATTTCTCTTTCCCACTATTTCAAAGGGTAGACCCATAACACAGGGAGATGGCCCTGTTAAAGCTCAGTCCTGATTACCTGTTTCAGCATGGATGAGGGATGTAAAGGACATCAAGATAAAGACGTTATTTACGACTGGGAAAACAGGGCAGCTAATGGCAAAATATAGTAGCTTAAATGGTTCACACACTTCAGTTTTTCTTCATGCAGTTAAAATAGTTTTGCTGTGCAGTGCTATACCTACTACTGACTAATATATCTCTCAGAATGCAAGAATGGGGCCTCAAATTAAAATGCACATTAAGTACAAAATTGGAACATTCTCATTTTAAAAGTAATAAATACATACTGATCACTAGCACATAAATAAATTGAGGTTAGTGGGACTCAATGTGGAAAAATGAAGGGAACAAATAAAATAACCCTGACCCAGAGTGGAGTCTGAAAAAATGCTAGAACAGAGCTACAGGTGTGTTTGCATTGGCCTTGCCTTACCCTGCCACCCAATGTTTAGGGCAGTAAAGACTAAGCAAAAAATTCTACCCTACTTCTAAGAGAGACCTTTCTATATCAAACAGTGGCTGCTGGACTGAGTTCATCAATCCGGTCCCACCAAGATCACTTTCATATCCCCAGTCTACATCAGGAATAACAAAGAGTTCTGAAAAACGGTATTTCAGCCATCCTTCCCAAAGGAACTCATTTGGTTATGAACAAAGTACTATTAAAAAATATGATTAGGGGGCTGGGGATTTGGCTCAGTGGTTCCACTGCCTACCTTGCAAGCTCAAGGGCCTGAGTTTGATACCCAGTACCAAAAAAAAGTATGATTAAAAGTATGCCTCCTTTCTTCTACAAGAAAGAGGCATTGTGTTGTGAACTAATAATCAAATATGTGACACCATCAGGATCTCCTATGCTCCCCAAATCTTCACTTTAATAATAAACAAATACTCTTTAAAATTTCCCAATTACAAAGAAACTCTTACCACTTCCCTTTTTCCTCCTCACTGTGTGTGTGGATCTTTCTTTAAAAAGTATGATAGTTCCCCCTAAAAGACAGCAAACTGCTGAATTTTTATAGTGAATACATTAGCTAGATGATGTTCTGGATCTCTACTGTTCTGGTAACTTTTTCTTGTTATTTCCCTTTTGACTATTCACCAGATCTGGTAATACAGACTGACACAACTTGGGGGGGGGGCAGTGCTGGTTCTCAAACTCAGGGTCTTCAGCATGCTAGACAAGCACTCTACCACTTGAGCCACATGCATCCAGCCTGACCTAAGCCTCCTAAAAATAATTAAATCCCTTACTCTTTAAACTACAAAATCCTTCCATGTGCAACTTTACATTCACTGAGATGCTCCGTGAAAGACTTCAGTAAAGGTGGTCATGGACAAGGAAGGAGTCCAAACACCTGTGAATATGGAATCACTTTCAGATAACAGTGTTAAAACTGCAGCAAAGACTTCACAATAAGATTATCCAGAATTCTTAGATAAGCTGCTAATCCTTGACAGTTTAAAAGCAAAAGTGTATAGGCAAAAATGTTGCCCAAATTCATTTTTTCTTTTAGGGAAACAGTACTGGGGCTCAAACCTAAGGCCTTATGTGAGCTAGAGAAGCATTCTACCACCAAGCTACATCCTGAGGTGTATCATGTGTCTTGCCTCTTAACATGTCAATGCCACAAGTAAGAAAATAATTGACTACCTTAAGGACCTCTCCCCACAACAACCAATAACAGAAACAAAGGCCATTCACACCTACTTATTAGGTCATACTTTTCTGACTTTTCCCTCAAGATACTAAGTACTACCAAGAATTCCAAGCAAATGAGGTTCCAAAAAGCATTCCTGCCAGGTGTGGTGGTGGACAACTGTAGACCTAGCACTTGGGTGGGTGAAGCAGGAGGATCACTGTGAGTTCGAGGTCAGCCTGAACTATAGAAACCTGTCTCAAAATTTCAAAAAACAAACAAAAAAAAAGCATCTCTGAACACTCCATGGCCCCTAGAAACTCACAAACACCAAGATCAACACTTTGAAGGAAAAGTCAATGATTTACATATAGCTAAGACACAAAAGATCAAAGAAAGTAAATGATTCCAAGTGAACATATCTTGTGGAGCTGTGTGTGAAGAGCTGAAAAGTGACTCAGAGATAACCAGTTGTGGTTGTGAAGATGTTAAACAAAAAGTATAAAAGCAGGGAAGCAAGGTTGGGGATTCAGCTCAGTGGTTCCCCCGCCTGCCTCGCAATCCCAAGGGCCCGAATTCGATCCCCCAGTATAAACAACAACAACAACAACAACAACAAAAAGAAGCAGGGAAGAATTCCTGTGGTAAAGCCTGACGATTATTCACCTCTTAATCAGGCCTCAAGGGGCGTACAAGCCTAGGAGAAAAAAATAATGCCAAAAGATACCCAGGGTAGTTTCAGTGGGGTGATTAATATGAAAAGAATGTTGAAATAGGAAGAAAATGGCTAAAGGTGTAGGG